GCGCGCGCGTTGGTGGCGTTGGGGGGGGGGGGGGGGGGGGAGATGCTATGTGGGGGGATGAAGGCAGCACCCGGGTTTGGCAAGATCAGCGGTGAGGGGGCTTCCCGATACTTGCCCGCATACCCGCATCCCTCCCCCACGTTTGTGGGTGGGAAGGGGTGTCGAAAGCGGAGGGGTGGGGGGGGTGGACCAGCACGAAATGTGTTGGGGGGAGGGTGATGGGTAAGAGGACAACCCCCCCACCCCCCTCCTGGCTGGTGTTGTAGGGTGCGGATGGGTGCAGAGCAAGGACAGGCAGCCTTCAGCCGGGGGGGGGGGTGTTGCTAAGCCTGCGGCTCCGGGGGTGCCTAGCAGCTGCTGACCGGTGCTGAGCTTTAAGCTGCTTGCTTAAAAAAAAAGGAAAAAATCAAAAAAGGCAAGGGTTTGGGGTGAACGCTGCTGGAAGTGTTTGGGGGGGGGGGGGTCCAGGAGTCCCCCTTCTCAAAGGCTTAATTGTGTCATCTTCTGAAGCAAAGCCCCGAGCAGGTCTTTATTGTGCCCAGGCAGAGGCATGCTCCAAGGTGCTAATTTGCTCCAGCTGGGGTGATCCAAACTAGGGGTTATTTAAAAAAAAAAAACACAAAACAAACAGAAAAAGCAAGCGTCATGGTACTGGTCACTGTGCTGTCGGTACAAGAGGTCAGGGCAGCGCTTGCTAAATGCGGGGTTTTGGGGGGGTCATGGCAGGGCAGGACGGACGGACAGCTGCCGGCACTGCCTGCTGAGACGGCCAGAGCTTGCAAAATCTCTGCTGGAAAGGGACTCGGCAGCGCTGGGAAAATGGCAGGGTGTGAGGAGACATGGGGGGCGGGGGGTGACATTGGGGGGTGCTAGTTTTTTATAAAGATTTAAACCCGATACAAAGCAGAGAGCCCCTTGCTGCCAGCATTAGCTGTGTGGGCTGCCTCTGCCTGCTGAGCACCCGGGGCAGGGTCAGGCCCCGCCGTGTTCTTCTGCAGGTGAATTTTGGTACCTGGAAGGGACTGGGGACCAAAAAGCCAGTTGTTGTCTGTGTTTTGGCCTGGGACCCAACTCTCTGGAGGAGAAAAGCAGGGTCTCGGCTTTCCATGCTGCCCATGGAGCAGAAGCAGGCAGCCCTCAGGGGCCAAATACCCTGAGTTTTGAGCCACTCAGTCTGGCAGGATTTTCTGGTGATTTTACACCGGCCTTCCCATTTGAAAACCCCTTCCCAGAGCAGCCAAGGAGAAACCACCAAGCAGACAAAAGAAAAATGCCCTTCAGGTTTCAGGGAGTTGATTCTCCCCTTGCACCAATGAGCGCGGCACCTTCCAAATAGCGGGTTTTTTTGTTAGGAAACAAATGTTGCAGCCAAGTAGTATTTCTCTTCTTGTGGGATTTGAGTTCCCAACGCAAGTCCTGACTTGTGTGCTGAGTGAGTGGGCTGGTCCCATCAGTTCAGGTGGCTCTGTTCCCGCTTCCTTGGGTTTTCTTTGCTTTGTCTTCACCTCCAACACTTTGGTACTTGCTGTCAAGAGAGGAAAAAAAATTATTTATTTTTGATGCCACAGAAGCCACGTGCAGTAACCCTTTTTTTTGGAGAGCGACCCATTTTAGAGGCGAAACATAAAGCTACGTTTTCCCCACCAACTCAAAAGCGATCAGGTTTTAACAATGACACGTGCAGGCTATTAGTTGTGGGTTTTGCCTCCTTGCTGTCAAGACGTAGGTCTTGATTTAGCAAACGCTGGCATGGAAGACCCGGTGGCATGCATTTACGGAGTTCGGTCCTTCCTGGGAGTTTGTTACACCCAGCTCAGCTGAGCATCCCCTTAGAGAAATGGCTGGTTTTTGGCAGAGCACTGAAGCATGCACTGAACTGGCAGCGCAGGCTTGAAGCTTCAGCTGAGCCAGGTGGGACGCTGTTGTGGTGCCGTTCCTACCAACTCTGCTTTCTGCAATAATTAAAAAGACTTTTCCAATTAGTAGCTAATGGCTTCCGTGGTATTTCTGTAACGTTTCACAACTGTACGCTGATTTTTCCTGTATGAAGATGTGTGTCGCCTACGGTGGACTAGAAGAAGAGGTGCCTCAGCAAAACAGTGGTTAAAGTAAACTGCATGGGTTGTTGCTCTGAAAAATGAGCTGGGCTTTTTGCAAGGTTGTGCATCTTCTCTAAATATGTTTGAATGACCTTTTCTTTTTTTTTTAGCAGCTATCACAAGGTACCAGTCTCATTTTCCCAGGTACCTTCGCAGTGTTCCCATCAGTGTTGGATATCCTGCTGCGCGTGTCCTACCCTTGCCATTGTCCGTCAGTCTCTGTTCCTCCTGTCTTTTCTTCTTTTTTTAAAAGATGCAGACATAATGCTGTGAACCGAAATAAATTATTTATACAATGAAAGGGCCTGATTAAAAAAAAAAAGTGTTCTTCTGCTTATTTCTCTAATATCAATGCTGCATTTTACAGTTGGTTCTCGTTGCATGTTATGAAGGAGCTGGGCATGGGGACGGAGAAGGGACCTACTCAGGATCACTCTGCACCCAGCGGTATACTGGCATGGGTCTGTCACATGGCGTTCCTCTGCAGCGTGTCCCTCTAGGACGTGGGGAACATCGATAATTTTGCAGTTAATGAAATCTGAGCTCTTTTGCAGGACACTTAATTTCTCTGCATTTCTGCTGCTGTCCGTGAAAGGGGACAATACTGTTTGGTGTGGGTATTTTCTTCCCTCACCTCTTTTTATTTTAAATCCATGTGAAGGAGGCGATCACCCTGTGCACAGCACTTAGAAGAGGAAGCGAGAAAGTTTTGGGTTTGCTCAGTGTGGCTTTTTTAAATGCGTGTCCTCAGGCAAGCCCTTGCAGCGGCAGGGCGCCAGGTCTGCAGGGGTTAAAGCACCAGGCGGGCAGCTGAGAACAGGATGCTGCAGGGCTGGAGGCTGCCTCTGCTCCTGGGTGGCTGCTAACACAGGAAACACAGGGTGACATTTCGGAGAGGAGAGCCGGAGCTGGGTGGTAAATGACTCCTTGCTTTCTTTTTAAAACGGTGACATGGCAGCCAGGGAGGAAATGATAAGCCCAGTTCGCGAAAGTGCGATTTGGCTGGGCTCATGAGCGCTTAACCTGCTCGAGGGTTGCGCTAGGCTTCTCTCTGCTGCCCAGGTGGACCCCCTGGTTTCCAGGGTGCAGAGTGCCCAGGCAAGAGGATGTGCTGTTCGCTTTGCAGGGTCAGGGTCTTGGGGCTCTAAAGGGTTGCAGGACCTCAAAATGAACCTGAAGGCTTATCCAGTGATGCAGTTACTGAGCTCCTATCAAGGCTGTTGGTTCACGCCCAGAAACCGCTTGAAGCTGTGCTGGATGGTGATCAGTGGCACTCGAGGATTGAGTTGCTGAGTGCTCAGCTGCCTCGTGACCATGTGGAGAGCCTCTGAAAGGTGCAGTTCCCCACAGGCTCCTTCCTCGCACAGACCGTCACCAACGGGTTCCTGTCTCTCTGCCACAGGGGTGGCATGGTGGGCAGCATGGTCCGGTCCAGCGCTCCTCAAGATGCTTCTGACCATTGCTTCCCTTTGCCCCTCCAGCCCTGTTTTTCAGGCAGCATGCGGGACATCATGTTTCTTCTGGCCTGCGTTTCATGGATCTGAAAGCCCAGGAGCGGATGCTGCACTGCCTGCACCCTCCTTAGCGTGAAGGGACTCATCCTCACCGATCCCACCCAGTGGGAGCCGATTTATGGAGGTTTTCCTGCTGGCACGGAGTCGTGCACACTGGCATTGTGTCCCTGTTCAGGCTTATCTGTGCCCCAGGGGGCCCAGACTTGGATCCCTTGGGCACACAGGGTGACATGCTATGTCCCGCATGGAGCTGGGGGGGGCTTTCCTCCTCCTGGTTTAATGGGGGGAACCATGCCTGTCCCTGTGATGGAGGAAGAAAAACAGCCAGAAGGGTTTGGGCTGTAGGTTTTGAGAGGCTGTGACTTTGTGCGTGTGTGACTGTGTAACTGGATCTCCCCCCCCAGCTCTGTGAGCAGGGCCGGGGGGGCTGAGCTGGGATGTCTCAGTTTATTTTACTGCCAAAGCCACTGGCTTGCGGGAAGGGGCAGGAGGGGTTGTGTCTTCTTGCAAGCAAAGCTCCTTGTGCCTCGAGCTGCAAGGACAGACATCCTCCTTCAAGCCACACAGCCTCTCCTCCTGGCCAGAGAGTGCTTTTGTCAGCAGGGGTTTTTGCGTGTTTAGGCCAGTTGTCATGAAAACATTGCACAAGAAGCGTGCTGACCTTGTGATGCCCTGAAGCAGCATGCCGGCTGTGATTTATGCTGCCATACCATCTCCCCAAGCAGGCAGTTCAGCGAAACAGCAAGTGATGCTGGAGCCATGGTCCCCAGCCCAATGTTTGGGGACCCTCATGGCATGTGGAGCCCAAGCCATCAGGCAATGCCCAAGGATGCTCCCCCTGCATGGGACCAGCGGGGAGAAAAAAGCAGTGAGGAAGCAGTTGGGCTGTCAGCTGCATCAGATCTCCACAGGCATGGGCTAGGAGCGGGTGACAAGGACCTGCAACCTTTCAAATGGCAGAAAGGCAAGAAGAGAACGGACCAGGGATGGGGTCTAGCCAGCAGCAGCAGGAGTTGGGGTCAGGACAGAAATAAGTAGAGAGAAGCTACCAGTGTGTCTCCCACCGCTTCCCTGCAGGTCCCTGACATACCCTCTCTGAAGGCCACCAAGGGAGGGCTGCTGAGCAATTTCCACTTGCTCTCATGGACAAGGGTGCTTCAAGCACCTCTCTGATGGCTTGGAATGTCCTACGTTTTCATGCATATAGCTTGATGAGGACTCCACCCCAAGAGCTCTGCAGCTCCTCTTCTGCAGGTTCTGCCTTG